CTCATACCTCTGGCTCCTGGCCCCCATTCTGCGGCTCTCTGGGGCTCGCTAAGAGTCACTCATTAGCATAAACTCAAGTAAGTTTGACAGGGGCTCAGGAGAAATAACAAAAGACTCTCCTATTGTTCTGGAAAGTCCAGTGATTTTAGCTCTGTGCCAGAAACTAGGGACAAAGCCTAAATATATTTATCATTTTAGCACAGAACCAACCCATGCAGTTCCTCCCATAAGTTAACTCAGGACCTTCAGGGATTGACTCCTTTTCTGAGACTTTTAGAACTATTGCAAAGCAGTGTTTTTCCAGGAGTTCTGAAGAAAATAATGCTCCACATGGCCTTTCAAAACATGGTCAAAACAAAATAAGAGAGAAACCTTAGGTGTTAATACACTAGCCTCTAGTTATCTAGAGTGCATTGTTACTCTATTTATTATTCATTTTTTGGATCATGCATGTTTCTAATAACGTAGCATTGTTTAACCCCTTGCATGGCCCACATGAGCATCATGAAGATGTATAGTGGGGAAGAAACACCGAACACTTGCCTTTCCAACTGCTTCCTGTATAAGCCCTGTTTAGTTCTTGTTGATCATCTTATCCCTTGTGCCAGTCATAACACCTAACACATAGAATACACTCAATAAATATTTGTTGAATGAATGTGAAATACAAACTTGTTTTTGAACAAGGGAGATCTTGAACATAGCACTGCATTATTTAATTTATATCTCATTGTTTTCTCAAGACCATAGGACCATTTCCAGCCTCCTGAACTTGATGCCAGTGACTTGCCCCATAGGCCACTAAAAGAAACGATGAATCCCATTCAGTGCTGCCCAGTTCTGTTCCCTAAAATCTGCAAGTTGACATTCCTTGAAAGAAATTAAGGCAAATTTTAAAGAAGCCAGGAATCAGAAAAAAAATAATCTTAACCACATTGAAAGTATGAAGAGAATGTTTTCTTTCAAACAGTATCACAATAAAAGACTTTCAAATAATATTCCACAATTTCTCTGAAAAAGAAAAAAATGCTTTCTGCTATAATCATGCCCTGATTGCCTCTCTTCTGCATAGCTACTTGGTATTCTTCAAAGAAAAGGAGTATTCTTTGTAGATTGGTTAATTTTCATCTGTTCACCCAGAGAAGAGTTTATTCCAAAACTCTAAGACTAGATCTGACCTTGCACTTACACTAAAGTCATCAGTGCTCTCTGTTTGGGGGTTTGGTCTCTGCTGTCAGCCTGTGAAATTACTCCTGAGAGCCAAGTGGGAACTATAGTGGCACACTGTGAACTTAATTTACAAAGTACCTCAGGAGGGTTTCTGATTAACGCTGAAGCCTGGGCCTATCCCAAGGTTCCAAAGTGTAAAGGGAAACATTTTCAAATCATGCAGCCACTTGATTTTGAGCAGTGATTTGTGTCTGGTGTGGGGCTTCGGAGAATTAGGAGGTTGATGAGAGGAGAAGGGAAGGTCTCACGGTAGGTAGGGCATTGGTCAATGAGCTAATGCAAGAGAGAAAGACAGAGACAGAGACAGAGAGACAGAGGCAGACACAGAAACAGACAGAGACAGAGAGAACAAATTAGCCAAACAGAGCAAACCCTAAAATGTTGTTTGTAAATGACTTGTGGTCCATTTGCTTCTAGCAGTGATGTACATTCCCAGAAGCACAACATGAACACAAAGAATATTAATAATGAGTACAAAGTGTAATATGATTAATTGGACAAATCACTGCTTTCCACATGGGATTAACAGCTTTCAAAAGTCTAATGTTAGAAATCCATGTCTTTGAAAGACGTGGCTCCCTGGACCACGACTTCCATTCGCCATTCTATTCATGTGTTTTTCTCCCTTTCAACCAGTTTGGCTCAACTAATAATCACTGGAGAGTCTTTCTCCCCAGATGCACACTAGAAACAGTTCAATCATTTGACATTTCTAAGAGTCCATGATTTTAATTCTATAAAGCTACACACAAAGAGGGGAGAGGATAGGAAGGAAGAAGGGAGTCAGTAATGTTAGCATAAGGGTTTTCTGCAGAGCCTCTGAAGCTGGAGATCAGAGGCTGAAACAGGGAAAGGAAAGGAGGCAGTGCTTAGGCTGTGATCAATAGAAGGAGGCTGTGGACATGGAGCCCAACCTGGTTAGAGGGGACTAAGAATGGAAGAGCAGGAGCAGGGAGGGTTGGTCAACAGCCAGTCCTGCCTCCACACACCAACACTGGGTTCTCAGGCTGGACCAATATCCTGGAGCAATCTCAGGAGGCTTGGGGGCCTCAAATGTCTGGTGGGATTTCCTGTGCTATGCCTCCACTGGCCCTGGTCCAAAGTTAACCTTTCATGGCCAATCCACCTACTTCTCCATGAAATCTTGAGAAATAACTCAGATCTCAAGGATAGGTTTGCATGTGAGAGGTAAATCATGATTGATCAGTAACACACTACAAAGAGACAACATAACTCTGGAAATTTATCTGAGCCAAACAAAACCCATCAGGCCAGTTTCCTGACCTCCGGAGTGTATCCCTCCTTCCTGATATCCCTGAATCTTTAGGAGTTGTGTTATATCATTTAAACTAATTTTGAGATACACTCAAGGTACTTACTTAATACTTTTTTTTAAAGCTTCTTAGGAAAATAGTTCTCTGAAATGAGTAAAAAATAATTAGTCATTTCTAGATCAACCAGAACACCACTTTGCATTTGCATTTGGAAGTGAACTAAACAATTATGAAATCACACAAAACGATTCATCAGATGTAAATCCTATAACCTGACAAATTCAGAATTACTGACATTTTTTAGGTGGCTCTTTTGATATAGTTCCTTTCACTCATATATCTCATTCTGTTTTTATATTCGGCACATTAATAAATGTCAAGGATGACCCCAGATTCATTATGCGATAGGTGAATCTCCAAAATGAAAGATTATCTCCTATTGAGGATTTGTTTAAATCTCTTTTCCCATCTGTCTACAGTGCCTGCATTCTACATTCTTAATTCCTGAAAGGCAACCAGCATGGTTTGAAACCATGTTGCTATCCAACTCAAATTGTGTTCCAAATGATTCGATTAAAAACTACAAAAGAACTACTTTCAACCAAAGCTTCTTATAGATGAACACAAACATTTGTGAAGTGGGCATGCCTTACTTACTCTGCGCTCCCAGCTTTAGAGGGAAATATATTCAGAAGAGGAATTAATCACAAACTAAATCCCACCCCTAGGCTTCCTTATACATCCCACAAGGAGGTCTAAATATGCAATGTTTTTCTACAATCGAATCTTAGTGACACATCCCAGCTCTCTGTGTCTCACGAGATAGGCAAGAGATATTTGCTCAGTGGAAAATCCTAGAGCCGTCACATCACATCAATATTAAAATCATCATAGCAAGAGAATCCAAAAACCAGGCGCGTTCATAGATCCTAGTCATCAGTCCTGCCCTTCCATGAGGTGATTCTTTTGATTAAATTTAAGCCTATGGTGATATGCAGATGAAGTGGTTGACTCCTTTGACATTTGAATACTGATTTGGTAATTCTGGGATATTTGCATGCACTTTATCATTTATATACTGTTGAAGTTTGGATGTTTATATGAATAGTACATATCTGAAAGCAGTTTTCCTCTAATCTGGGAAATAAATCAGACTGTGCTTATTAAAAGTGAACTTTGATGCCTAAAACTTTATAAATTCTCAAATCCATACAGAATAACAACTACAAATAATGCTAAGCACATGCTGTCCTGGGGGACAAAAGCACGAGGGGCTTCATTACCGAGCACAACCTTGCAAAGAGGTTGCAGCATTAGAGATTTTTTTTCTCCTCTAACACTTCTGAGGAGGAACTTAGAGCTTTTTGCCCTAGTAGATGCTGTGATGTTTAATGAAACGGCGGATATAGGATGATGTACCAGATGCAACTGCAGCATTTAATCTCTGCGTCTTGCTTTTCACCATTGTGACTAACTCATCAGACTACACAGGAAATGCTCCCTGGCCGCTGAATATGAACTTTGCTCTCTGATCGAGATAAATTTAGACACTTTGATTTCATTATAGAAATTCCAAGACTACTTGTGGGATAAAACAAATGTTAAGACCATATTGAATTTCATCAAGCTGAATTAGCAGAAAATAAAGATAAAATGCCTTTCTATTTAAGAACATGATGATATTTTAATTGGTACAGCATTTGGCATGGCTAATGTACACAATCCTTGACATTCATGTAATAACAAAAGAAAGTTGTTTCGGGTTTTTCTTTTATTTTTCAGTATCTCCTATTCCTCCTAGTTTTGCTCCCTCCCACCCCCATCTTGGCCCTGGCTTTTAGCTCTTCTCCCAGGTCTCCATCCTTCTATAAGGAAAAACTACGCAGGGCAGGGATACATGTAAAAATACATCACTTCTATGTAGATAGGCCCAGGCTGCTTATTACCTAGCTGTGATGAAAGACCACCATCGTCGTGACAACTGATGTCGATGCCTCCAGGGTAAAACAAAGGTTTACATATTACACAAGCAATTGAACTGTTTTCTAAACATATTGCCAAGACAGTGGGAGTTGGCAGCCCACACTGTGTTTTAGGTTTTGGAGACTTGAATTAGAAGTGACTGCTGATTATGAACCTTTTTATTTGTCTTCTATGAACTACAGCAACCTAGTAACCCAGCAAAGAATTCTTCACCGCACTTAAACTTGTCTTCCTAGCTTCCCAAGATTACATGCACAAATCACTCGACAAAAGTGCTGTAAGAGTCCTGCGCGTAGATAACCACAAGACAATTGTCTTGTTCTAACCCTTCAAGAGTACCACAAAGTGAAATGTTTTATAATCCTTTTTTGTGCAGTAGGCAAGGAAGAAAAGAAAAGAGTTTGGGCAAAGATTATCCAGAAGAAAGAAAGAGACTCTTTCGGGGTTCCAGTGGAAGCACAATAAAGAACATAATTAACTTCACGATTCTTTGTGTTTTTCATTTGACTGCAGGGAGGAGATGAAAGAGGACTGTTAAGCCTTGCATTCCATCCCAATTACAAGAAAAATGGAAAGCTGTATGTGTCTTACACCACCAACCAGGAACGGTGGGCGATCGGCCCCCACGACCACATTCTTCGAGTGGTGGAGTACACCGTCTCCAGGTACCCCTGAGCGGCACCCAGGCAGGGATGTGTTTTCGTCTTATTTTCCCATTATCTCTTCATAATTTTTCGTGTAGGAGTTACACGTAATTAGCCATAAGATGGTAATAATTAAACAACAATCTACGTCTCGCTTACAGCCTGGAGAACTGAGCAAAATGAACGCTCTGGCACTTTTCCTCAATCATCTTTCTACTTAAATGCTACTTCTGAAACTTAGAACAGAGCACAGTTTTCCCAGTAATTTTTAGGAACTGCTCGTCAAGGCTGTGTTCCCTCACCGGCCAGCCGGGCATCTGCTCCCTGTCTGTGTCTGTCGCCTTGCTGGTGAGGGCTTCTGCTTCTTTAACAATCCTGTGTTGTTTCCACCCCACAATACAGAAAAAACCCTCATCAAGTGGATCTGAGGACGGCCAGGGTATTTCTTGAAGTAGCTGAGCTGCACAGGAAGCACTTGGGGGGACAGCTGCTCTTCGGCCCCGACGGCTTCCTCTACATCATCCTTGGTGACGGCATGATCACGCTGGATGACATGGAAGAGATGGATGGGCTGAGGTAAAACAACCGGTTCCTTTTGGTATGAACATGCTATAAATGCCAAGAAAAAGGGTCAGAGCTAGTGAGTTTAGAACTGTCCTTGACAAATACCGGATGATGTCAGTTATATGTGGGATACAGAGAAACAAAGGGTCACACAAAACCAAACCAGTAAGAACCACGAGGGGAGGGTGGAAGGGGAGGCAGGAGCAGGGGCACGGAGGGCCAGGGTGGGGCCTGTGGGCGCCGTGGTGGTGACATGCCTCTGGGGAGGTGGGATCCGGAGCCTCTCAATCACAGACAGTGTTGGAAACGAATGTCACCGCCACTAAAAAAAAAAAACTGCCATTGAATTACAGCACCTTGGTGACATAACATTTGTTATCCTTGTCTGTATTATCAGATGAATTGGAATCCAGTATTAGACTAATGCATTCTTTTTGAAAGTTGCTAGGCTGCTGTCCCAGCACGGATTGTAGGGGTGCCATTCTGATAGGCAGGGTGGGAGAAGCAAGCACCCCCTGAGGCCTGCAAATGCTGGCCCCGGGGAGCTTTTGGGGGGGCAGAAAATACATGGATTGGAGAAGGAATAAAGATCAGGTGCAGAAAGCCACGCGCTTCTCATTCGAGTCGTCAGCCAGGAGCTGTACCTTGACTTCGCTTCCTGAGCGTTGCTGGGGGGAACGGTGTCCCAAGACTGGACACTCATGTGGCCCGGCCATTTCTCAGTGACTTCACAGGCTCGGTGCTTCGGCTGGATGTGGACGCGGACACGTGCAACGTGCCTTACTCCATCCCAAGGAGCAACCCGCACTTCAACAGCACCAATCAGCCCCCCGAGGTGTTTGCCCACGGCCTCCATGATCCAGGCAGGTGAGAACACGGCCTTGGACCTGGCTGCTTTAAAGCCAGCTGGGTAGCCAGGGGGCTGGGTAGGAAAGAGAGCCACCCCACAAAAAGCGGCAAGAGGATGTGCCTCTAAAATCACCCCAACTCGCTATCCCATCACCCTTTCTCCTGTCTGGGGGAAGCAGATGAAGAAGGCAGCTTAGACCAGGAAAATATCAGTATCAGGTTAGACCAGTATCAGTTTGTAAGGAGTTGAGCTAAATATTGACATTTTTTACATAAAAACAAGAAGTAGAAAAGGAATTCATCGTGACCATAGTGAACTATCAAGGAAGGAATGCTGAAAGGAACAGAGAGAGAAATTCCAGGTACACATCAAAAATGCATGTAGCAATTCTGTGATGAAGCCTGCATCCAATCTGCAGTCTGTTACACAGACAAGGGGACACGTGGCCACATTCATTCACTTACTAGCGAAGTTATTATTGCTATGTAATGTTTATTGAGTGTTCACTATGTGCAAGGTGAGTATTTCTCAAACTTTTTATTTTTATAATCCCTCATGCCCTTCATCTCCCCTCCATCAAAGTCCGAGTCTACAGTTCATTTCCTTTTTGGCTTCTCATCAGATCTTAAAATCTGTGCAACATGGAAGAGGGAAGGTGGGTTCAGGATGTGGAGGAAGCTGTCACATTCCATTCCTCTAGCTCGAGACTTGCAGCACCACAAAGCAGTACTTGGAAGTCCTGCAGCCTGAGTCACTGCAATCCCACTGGTGCTTTGGTGCAGCCTCCCCTGGGTTCCTGGACCCTTGGTGCAAAAACACGGTGCTAGCTCCTTTACAGACCTGATGATGGCAGGATGCCTGAGCTGTGGTCCTGCCTCCTACAGGCAGCGGGGCCTAAAGGAAAAACTCGCATCCCTCCAAGAGTACTCAAGCAGAGGAAGGCTTACTCAAGCCGAAACAGGGACCTCTCTGGTGGAGCAAGGGGTTAAGCGTCAGCACTATGAAGCTATCTGCAACTACTGTAGCAGTTCGACCGCTGGCCAGGGAGCTATCCACATGGTGCGGCAGACCTCTCCTGTCTCTCCCTCTGCTCCCCTCAGCAGTGTATTTCAGTCAATCTGCCAGTTCTGCTCCCCACTCTGTCTCTGGTGAATCCGTTCACCCCCCACCTCTGGCCTATACCCCAGTTCTTATAAGCATAAATAAATAAATCTTTTTTAAAAAAATCAAGCCAAAAGGAAGCTAAAATAATTACTGGCTAAAAGGAAAGCTTGTATTAAGCGCCCTGGTGCAGAGTACTGAACAGAGTGTCTTGCACACACTGTCTCTTTATGCCTCTCAGCAGTTCCCTCGAGTAGCTGGATCAGGCACTCTCCCTTTATTTTTAAAGACTTTCATTTTCAGAACGATTTTTAAGTTCACAGCACAATGGAGCAGAAGATACAATGTCCCCATGTGCCTCCTGTCCCCATGCCAGAGCACCCTCTCTGTTATCTGCATCCCCTACCAAGCGATCCATTTGTTAAAATCTATGAGCCTACACTGACCTATCACTATCACCAAAATCACACTTTCCATAAGGTTCCCTCTTGGTACATATTCTGTGGACTTGGACAAATGCCCAATGACCTGTATCCATCATGATAGCATCGCAAAGATAAGTCTCACTCATCGGCCTCCATTTTACATAAGAAACTAAAGAGTCCGATGGTTCTCAGGAAAGCTGGTTTCCAGCCAGAATTCAACCTCATGCTCCCAGCAACTCCATCTTTGGGGGACTGGGCCTTTCCTTCTAGATTTACTCTTTCTTATTAGAAACAGATCAAATTTTTTTGCTCATCGTTTCTCCATCTTCAAAAAATAGCACAGAAACATGTTCTCATCCTGCGTGGATTTAGTTCTCCTGAAATCAGAGCATGCCTGTGTCATCGTCCCTGCCAGGCATTGTATTCTGTGAATCATTGAATAAAAGAGGACAATAAGGGGACTGTTGTCACAGAACAACTAACCCATCCTTGGCAGGTCAGGCTTAGCGTTTCCCCATTATGAATGGAATCATGTGGAGCCAAGTTTTTTGTTTCCTTCTTGTTTAAATAATTGCTAAATATCACTCTTAATGTCTCTTAAGCCCCAGAATCTACTCTCAGATTTCCTTTTTCTTTTTTAATTTATTTAATAACCTCAAGGGTTGGGTTGGGTTGGGTTGGGCTGGGTTGGGTTTTTAAGTCATTAATATATTTGATTGGACTAAAACAGTGATTCTCAATGGGATGATTTTTCCCCCAGAGGATATTTGGCAATGTCTAGAAACTTGTTTGATTTTCACAATGTAGGAGGAGGGGATCCTACTACTGACATCTAGGGACCAGAGATTCTGCTAAACATCCTATGGTGCTCAGGACAAAGTCCACACTGCCCTCCCCAACCCAACAAAGAATTATCTGTCCTCAAATGTCAGTAATGCCAAGGTTGAGAAACCTAAAAACAATGCAAGACTGTTTCCCACATTAGTGAGAACTTCAAAAATTTCATTATTCAATTTCATCCCCACCCCACCCCAATTCTGCACGATCAGTCAATAGTTGATTTGGCATTCAACAATATTGAGCTCCCTTTATACTGCTGACTTCGAACTAGGTAACAGAAATACAGTGATCAAGAAGTTGGAAGCGGGCCTCCCCGGTGGCACAGCGGTTGAGCACAGGGTTGCGAAGCTGCCCGCAGCCTCTGCAGTGCTGGTTCGATCCCCGGCTGCTCCCCAGCCACTGGAGGAGGGTCCCACATGGCGTGCAGACCTCTCCTGCCGCCCGCTGCTCCCCTCAGCAGTGTACTTCGGTCCTTCTGCCTGCTCTGCTCCCTGCTCTGGCTCTGGTGAATTCTCTCACCCTCCCGCACTTCTGACTGTACCCAGTGCTTGTATAAATAAATTAAATAAATAAATAAATAAATAAAAATAAAAAATAAATCTTTAAAAAAAAAAAAAGTTGGAGGCAGTTGCTGTCCTCACAGAGTTGATAGTCAATGGCCTAATTCACAGAAACATTCTGGCCCCGCCTTGGGGGTAAACACAAAGTGAAATCAGCGTCAATGTAAAAGAACTCCTTGGCTGGGGAGGGGGCAGCTTTATTCTCCTTTGTTAGAGCAATCTGAGCCTTAGCCATAATGATTCCATGCACAAAACACAAAGCTGATAATATAAGTAAGACTACTTGTGTGTTGTTGATGTGAGTTGATATTGCTGCTGATTCTTATTCCATATATTTTACCAGTATGTTATACATACACTGTTCCTTAACAATAGAATAACAAATGTTTTAAGTCAGTGTGCACTTTCCTAATTGAGGAAGAAACCAAGACAAATTGAGAAATACATTCCAGAGTCATTAGGCTTCAGCAGAGTCAACAAACACCTCAGCATGTTCCCTGTAGCAGCTTGTAGATCATCTGAACTCAGTAGCCCATAGGATCCCTTGCCACCCCACAAAGGGTTCCTATGTTAGGAATCCCCATTTCTGACCTTGGAAGATCCCCAGGTAGGAGATATTGAGTGTCTCCCCTTCTGTTATGTAGATGTGCTGTGGACCGACATCCCACCGATATAAACATCAACCTAACAATACTCTGTTCAGACTCCAATGGAAAGAACAGATCATCAGCCAGAATCCTACAGATAATAAAGGGAAAAGACTATGGTAAGGAAAGCTTAATTTGTTGATTTCTGCTTTAATTGCAGTTTTGTTTTATTTAAGTATATTAATTGAAGAGGAAAAAATGGTCTGTAAAAGGAGTGTTTAGGAGAGCATAAAAACACTGAACAGTGGCAGGCGAGCAAACTGCTCACTTTTGAAAGATCCAGTGATTCTTACAAGCCCTGGGGGTTCCATTTAGTTAATTACCTTTCCCAGGAATTGAATGGTGCTCTGTAGGTCCAAAAAATTTAATGGATCTTCAAAAGTTAGCAGTTTATATTTTGTTCATCTGTGAATCATGATGAATAACATCCATTTATGTTATATATAAGGGAGAACTTGTCTTAATCTCTTATATACAGGGGAAAAACCAAGTGTTAAAGACAAGAAATTTCCCAATACTCAACTTGCTAGTCTCAGCAAATAGGAAAATTATGTGTTTCAAAGAAGAATGTAATTTTTTCCGGTGTTTATTTTAGAGAAAACAAAGTAATAACTTGTAAAAACATATTACTCTAGTCATAGAAATGAGACATTTAGATATTATTTTTAATAATATGATTACTAGAATATCTGGAGATACATATTGAAAGATGTAAAATTGGATAATAATGAGGTCTAGAATACTTAATATCTTTCAATGTTTTAGTATTTACTCTTTTTTAGAGGAAGCAATATATCAAATGTTATTTTGATTCAGGGAACATAATAGATTAGGATTATTAAATTGACTGCTTTTTCTATTTACTCATTCAACAGAGATATTTATTTAGCATGAGAAATGAGGCAGCTGTGTTAGTTCACGTGGTAGCCAGTTATTTTACTTTTTTTAATTTTAGGTAGTATGTGTGTGTGTATATGCATCTTCTAAAAGCCAAACCAAAGAATAATGTGGCTTGAACAAAATCTAATAAGTCACTAGCTTGAATGCTGACCATATCTGAATATTAAATTCTATAATCACATTAATTGGGATTCAGCTGGAGCTGGTTACAATATTGACAGCCCTACATTTATGTTTTAAAAATACATCCACAGAATTCTTTCACAGAGTATACATATATCAAATGACCACCACATACATTTTAAATATCTTAGTTTTATATGTCAATTATACTTTAATAAAGCTAAAAAAAGAACCTCAAATCCCCCCACAAACTACATGCCCAGTGCTGTAGTTACATCTACACTGCAAGCCTATGTGACATGCGCTCTTATTGGCCATAATGTACAGATGAAGAAACTGAGGCACAGAAAGTCTCGGTGTCTGTTATGTAAAATAGCAGGACCTGGATTTGAACCCAGTCAGCCTGACTAAAGAGAGGCTGGCCTGAATCAGTCAATTATGCTGCTTCCCAGTGACCTGGTTATTTAGAGCTTATCTTTTCTAATTTTTATAATGTATTCACCATAAGGACATGGAGGAGGGGTATAAAATTTAATTAAAATTTAAATTAATTAAAATTTAAATTGTAAAGTCTTTCCACAAATGCTTTTGCCTAAAATACTGCCTGGTGGTAGTAACCTACTTGACATTAAGCACACAGTAAATAATTCAGATTAATTTGCAACTGACTTAGATCTTTTCCATTCTAATTAGCATATGTGCAGTCAAGTATATGACTTGCATGGAAATATTGAGATACACAATTACAACACATGTAATTCAAAAGAAATAGCTGGAATAGGTTTCGTCAGCCACACAACTCTTTAAACAAAAACATTAAAATAGTTCAAATGAAGATATTTCTACAAAAGACACTTCTACAAAAAGAAATAAGTGTTATTGGTTTAAAGTATTTTGGTTTAAAGTAGATTGCCATGATTTCCAATATATCCAAGTTCTAATTTCATTGAAAATGTGGTATGTCTTGGCAATTATAATACCAGAAGGCATTAACAGAGCATTCTTGTTCCATTAAGGTGTACATGGGAACCCTTCAAATTTTATACTATTTCAGCCATGGGAGTAATTATTTTCACAAAATATATACATAGTAAGGATCTACCTTGTGCATCTTGGAACACATTGGCAAATTAGTCAATAGTTCTAGCAATTGTTGCTTGGCCTGCGTTGCTCTTTCTTTACAACGTGTCTCATTTGATCTAATGCTCTGTTTATTTCTTTCCAGAAAGTGAGCCCTCACTTTTAGAGTTCAAGCCATTCAGTAACGGCCCTTTGGTTGGTGGATTTGTTTACCGAGGCTGCCAGTCTGAGAGACTGTATGGAAGTTATGTGTTTGGAGACCGTAACGGGTAGGTTTCCTTGATACCATGATCTGATATATCAAATGATACATTCATTGATTAGTTGTCAGGCTGCCCCAAATGTTCAGATGTTTGTCTCCCCGTAGGGTTAGGTCTGGAACACATATCAATATTATTATTTATTTTCAGTTCCACTATGTATGGGAGTTTCAAGAACTTTCTAGGAGATGCATTTTAAACAGACTTGGGAAGAGAAGTCTTCAAATGGACTTTTCATATTATTTAGACTCTTCCCTTCATCCTTCATATAAATTTACCATGGCAGTGAGTAATTTGAAAACTATTGTTTTACACGAGTTCTATAAATATTTTTGTAATTATCTCGAAAGCCTAAGAATTTTTGTTTGGGCCAGATTTTTAGGACATTAAGCAATAGAACTTAATTTGCCTGTATAGGCAGATGAGTACAAAATTAAATTCTGGCCTGAATTTTAGAGATTTCATTGTGGGAAATTATAAAAAACTCTATGGTGAAATCCAAATGAAGAGTCTCATTTTCCAAGTCTCCGACATGCAGGCATCTGGCAGAGCTGATGTGCTTGGTCACTAAAAGGAACTAGAAAAGTGTACTGATTCCATGGTCTTCCCCCTGCCCCTCTCTCTGATTAATAGCTCAGCATGGAGTCTAGTCCTGGAGAGGAAGTTTCATTCTCTGGATGAAGGGGAGGGCTTTGCTCATCCTCAGGTACTTTTAGTGCCCCCCTCCAAACAAAATAGTATCTTTAAGTACTTTCTCCCCACATGGGTTTTCACAGTCACACACATTATGGGCTCTATTATTTTTCCCTTTAGAAGCCAGGTCTGTGGCACAGAATTTATTCTGAGTTTTAGTCTGAACATTTTATTGTGGTGTTTTTTTTTAATGCAAAAGTATGTTTTCAATGTTGTTTTCTGGTATGTTTTCTTTGTAGGAATTTCTTAACTCTCCAGCAAAGTCCTGTGAGCAAGCAATGGCAAGAAAAGCCACTGTGTCTGGGCAGCGGTGGCTCTTGTAGAGGTTACTTTTCAGGCCACATCCTGGGATTTGGAGAAGATGAATTAGGTACTGTTCTATTAAGTTCCATTCTTGCTCCCTTACCCAGAGGTGGTATTCTGCCCTGAAGACTAAGTCTAACACCCTCATCCTCCCCTTTTGGAAATGCAACCTACAGCAAAGGTGACCAACCATAGACATGGGTGGTGATCCAGCTACGGATTCTTTTCCAGTAACCATTTTGCTGGGGCTCTTCAAGTCTTATTTCCACCATAGATATAGAAAAGTAGCAAAGCAGGAAAGTGGGTGGGTAGGGGGCGGCAAGAACAAAAGAATTTTTAAGTCCTGAAGAAAGAAAAATTTAAGTGTCTACAGATATTTTTGATGCTTCTGAGTCATTTGCTCCTATTTCCTATCTGAAAGCCGTCCCACGTATCCATGTCTCTTGCAGTTAGTAAAAAAATTATTGTAATCTAAATCTCACCTAATTTTCTCTTTTTTTTAATGTATTATTTTTACCCATCTGGGCATGAAATTTGTGCAAGATCACATTTCCAACAGATTAAAATTATTTTCTCATTGGTGATCTACCGGATAGCACAAAATGTATTTGTTGGCAAGTTATCAAAGAAATTGGAATTTGATCAAGCAAAGAATGGAAATTCTACTGATTTTAAATTATAAAATACATGGATCTGTCATTATGACTCCATTTCAAGAACTACATCCAACCTCCCATATGGTTACTGTCCTCCTTTTGCCTCAGAGATGAATTTTTGTATTAAGAAAATAGATGTATGTTTCCCACCTAAATCAGAATATTTTCTCTAAACACATAGGTTAGGTTCTCTGACATCAAAGGAGAATTTATCAGAATAATTCCATGCCATTCACCTGAGCTAGATTCAAGATTCTTGAAACGCATAGCACATATTTCAGAGCTACAGGAATTCAATGATTTCAATAAGAGAAGTCCAAACTGTCCTTTTTATAGCACTGAAAGCATTTTAAAATTAATTCCCCTTGATATTCTTCTATCCCATTCAAAAGAACCAGAAAGACACCAGTTTTCACTTAATCCTCTGTAATGAAATTTAAATCTCATTGGCAACTCTGATTTTAAAATGTTAAGATTTTCTTGTTTGTGGCAGAGTTAGAACTGAATATTTAGACCTTGTGACTAAATCATTTTGATTTCTCTCAATTTTACTACAAGTGACTCATCCTATCAGCATCACCACCGTTGGTTAAAAATACCCAAATGTCCATCTGAATTCTATATTGGGCGTAAACTAACAGATAAAGCACACACAGCCCTTCTGTCAAAAGCTACAACATCATATATATGCACAATTAAAAATAAGTATATTTTCACTGAATTATGCTTTCATGTAAAACTCTGATTTTAATTAGCAGTCATTTTTAAATGAGTAAGTTCTTGTATTTTTTGAATCAAAAGTTATCAAGAGTCTCTTTTTCTATGTATTTGCTTTTAGCTAAAATATCAAGATGGGTTTGTTGTGAGGTTTAAGTGAAGTAAACTAAAGTTCTTGGTGAAATAAATATTAATTTTTTCACTTAAATTCCTTTGCTTTTCCACTTCATTTATATTTTTTCTAGGCTTGTTTTAGGCTTGTTTTAGAAGAAAGTAGGAGGCTCTGCTTAATATATAATAATAGAGTAGAATAGAGAAATATAAACTAAATCAAACACTATTTTATCAATGAGTACTGAGTAAATTTTAAAGCCTCATAAATACACAGTCATAAATCAGCTTACAAACCCCTATCCATGTGATCCATTCTATACACTGAACTCCACGGAGGCAGTGGTAATAAACCAGAATGATTCTCTTCAAATAGGGTAGAAGGCTGTATTTCATCATCATGGGCACAGCCTCGCACCAAGAATTAGGGAGGCAGAGTTGAGACTGAGGCTTGGGATTTCTGTCTTCCTTCTCCCTTTACCTGCCACCTTCTCCCCAACTCCCAGCTCTACTCCCCCTTCTCTCTCATTCCAAATTTTTATTCTATTTTGCTTTAAATTGTTAAAAATTGACACAGAAAGGGCCTCCCTGGTGGCACAGGGATTAAAGTCTCAGCACTATCAGGCTATCGCCACTGCAGCATGAGTTCGATCCCCAGTATTTCAGTAGATCAACCTGTTCTGCTTCCCACTCTGTCTCTGCTGAATCCTCTCACCATCCACACCTCTGGCCTACACCCCAGATCTTGTATGCATAAATAAACAAATCTTTTAAAAAATTAGCACAGAATACCCTAATTCCATCTTGCCTCAAATTATCAGTTAACAGTTTCAACTTTGCAACAAAATCTTTCAAATTTGGGTAGAATAAGTCAAGATAAAACTTGCCTTCAACACTCATCTTACAAATATTTATTGAGCACCTGTTCTTTGTAAAGTTCTGTCCTAGGTGTTAGGGACACAGTGGCAAATAGACATGAATTTCATATTTTCCAGTAGGACCAAAAAAAAAAAAAATGAATGTTTTTTTAAAATGTGTGTATTTACATATTTGTATTATATGGGTATATATGTAACTACGGATGTCAACTGGTAATAAGTGCTTTGGAGAAAAATCTGGTTGTAAAGAGGGATACAGATGTTTAGGAGTTGGGAAAAGTGTAATTTAAACAGTACAGTCAGGACAGATAACATTTAAGCACAGACTTGAGCAGGGAATGGAGTAGACAGAGCTCTGCTGAGAGTCAGCAGCCTGAGGCAGGAGCCAGAGACAAGACCTGGGGCAGATGCTGAACCGGGAAAGGCCTGGGAGTGGAATCTGACTCCTCTGTTCAAAGCCAAGAGGCCAGCGAGGCCAATGAGAAGTGAGTGAGAGGGCAAACATGCAACTGAGATCAGAGCATGCGGCATCCCAGCCACTGTCAGGACTGGCTTCGACTCGAGAGAGAAGTGGTCAGAATCCAGACACGTGTATGGCTAGACTGCTCAGCTCTTGCATGATCTTTATGCAAGAAATGCAGCTACACAAAGATAGTTACAGCTACATGCATACACATACATCCATATACACATATGCATACATATGTACATACACATTTACAGTTGACCCTTGAACAACCTGGGCTTGAACGGCATGGGCCCACTCACATGAGGATCTTCTTATAAGCACATTGTAAACTTATAGTATGGAGAAACACAGCGCAGCACTGCAAATGTATTTTCTCTCCCCTATGATTTCCTCTAGCTTACTTTATTGTAAGAATACAGAACATACTATTGAATACATTCACCATTCAAAACGTGTGAACTTGACTGTTGATGTTATCAGTATGGCTTCTGGTCCACAGTGGGCAATTAGTAATTAAGTTTTGGGAGAAAAAAGTTGTATACAGACCTGTGATTGCATGGGGGGGTAGGTTTGATGCCCCTGTCTCCTTCATTGTTTAGGGGTCAACATACATATATATGAAATAAAGAGAAAGGCAGAGACAGGGTGAGAGGCAGAAAGAGAGAGAGAAGCAGAGAGACAGAGAAAATATAAATACACAGTATCTATTTCTATAAAATATCTGCTAGGCAATAGGGAGTAGAGCCTTGCAATTTTGTGAATTAATTTGCTTTCTCTCTTCACAGGCGAAGTTTACATTCTATCCAGTAGTAAAAGTATGACCCAGACTCATAATGGAAAACTCTACAAAATTGTAGACCCCAAAAGGTGAGCTCTTGTTATTTTCTTTCGGTCAAGTAATATTCCCTGTGGTGTTAGAATGCATGCGAGTTAGTGATAGATGACTGCAGGTGAGCACTGCCCTGTCCCAGTGGCATCCTGGGGGGCCCTCTGCTCAGGTCAGTGAGAGTCACCTGGCCACAGTAGAGTCTCTGAGAACCTTACTGCACCCAAACGCCCACCCTTCTTAGTCGTCAGAGAGCAGCAGTGTGTTTGTGGCCTCCGTGTCCTCAGTTAAAAGCCAGAAGCCTCAGACCCTTGAGGAAGTGGCCCCAGCTCTCATACTGGAAGCAAAAATTCTTTTGTTTTAAGGAAACTAAAAGCATCCAGCAGTCATGACAGCTGCTTAGTATGATCACCCGTGGGGTCATCGGGATAAGTTACTTTGGAAATTCCACTTCTGAGCCTCATTTCAAAACTATCTGAAAACTCACAGCTCCTGACGCAGGCTGCTGTACCAAGCAAATGATAACAGAAGTATTCTGTTATATCCCTCAGCAAAAGGAAGAGTCGAACGTTTTCTTCCTTCAAAGAATATATTTATCTCGCCCTGCTCCTCTCCACCTACCCATCACAACTTCAACACACACGCAGCTTTCAAAAGATCTTGAATCAGAATGAGTTGTTAATTTTATGGATAAAAACTAAATCATCAGATGCTGCCAAAGTGATCCTGTCAAACAGACATTAGTCATAAGTTCAGAAACAACTAGTACGGAAGTCGTCACACAGGTATAACTATTGTTGAACCTCCGCTGTTGTCACACTCCAGCTGCCAGGATGCAGATTTTAAATTCTCCCTATAGTAAAGTATCTTTGGAAGACTACTTGCAAATTTCAGTTCCTGAACTTCAAGACCCTTTTAGAAGAATAAGTTTCAATAATCTAAAAAATTTACTAAAAGCATTAACTTTAGTTCCATCTTTAAAATATTATTTGTAAGTCATAAGCTGTGTGTATTTTTCTGAAAAAGTCACTGGCTAATAGAATGGAGGTTCTTGTCCTTTTTATTTTTTTAATTGAGGTACATTGGTTTACAAAATTTTTTGTTTTAGGAGTATAGCATCTACCCTTTCAGGAGTCACACTACACCATACATATCACCCACCACCAAAGCACCCTAAGTCCTCCACCACTGTCCACTGTGCCCCCTCCCATTTTGTTCTCATCCCTCTCCCTACACTTCTGTTGTCAGATCTCAAGAGTTTAGTATTATTTTAGCTTTATCTGAACTTTGTTTTATTTCTCTACAGTCCACCAGTAAGTGAAACCATTCAGTATTTGTCTTTCTTCTTTTGATTATTTTACTTATAATCTCCTCCAGTTCCATCCATGCTATCGCAATTGGCAGTGTATCATTTTTGATAGCTGAGTAGTATTCCATTGCGTATCTATACCACATCTTCTTTATCCACTCATCTGTTTTGGAGCACCTAGGTAGTGCTCCATAGTTTGGCTAGTATAAACAGTGCTGGAATGAACACAGAAATGCATATTTCCTTTGGAATTAGAAAACATTCTCTTTCCCAAGGAAAATACAAGTTGACATTAGTGCTACAGGGCAAAAAAAAAAAAAAATCAATCCCAATCTCCATTGAATGGTACACATTTTCTTTCACAATAAGACAAATATGAATCTCTACACCGTAGGGGTTCTTTTCCTTTTTGGGTGTGAAACCAATGTCTTCTTTGTGAAAAGCAAAGTGATGTGTGAAAAAAAAACAAAACCACACCAGACATTTCTAGTGATTGTTGAAATTGGCAATATTAAGAACAAAAACCAAACTAATGTTAACTCGTAAAATAATAGCATTTGGATGATTCATAATGATTCTAGGAACTTCACTCAGATCTAATGCCATTTAGTTTCAAAATAATCATCTTTAGTCCATTATGTTTTTCAAAGTGGATATGCTTTTACAAGCTTCCTGGTAGTCTCATAATTAATTCTCCCTCCTCCTCACAAACATCTCTCTCTTCATCTGGATTGTTTAGTCTGTCGGTGAGTCGAGGTGAATTTTACACCTTCTATCCATTATTAGTGTCCAATTACCAGGGCTGCCATCAGGGACCTTGGCTTTGTGTTCTTAAGGCCCCCTCGAGTAGGGTGGTCTCAGAGTGACATACCTGAAAGGCCTGCCTTCTCATTATAGTGCCTGTTTCTGGTGAGTCCTGTCCTGTGGGGGGCCGCGTTTAAGATGTGTGTTTGGTTTTCAGAAGGTGGGGGGAGTAACAGTTCCAAAGACAGCGGCCTTGTACACAGGCATAAGCATTTGCTTCAAAATTAAACTGACGATAAGAAAACAAATGTTTTCATAAACATTTGTTGGGAGTCTCATGCTGTTTCGATTTGGATGCCAACGTTTATTATTATAGTATTTCTCCCTAGATGATCTGAAGGTTTATATAAGCAGACGCTTTAGTGTATGTGAATGGGATTATTTTGGAAATACAAGCTAATTATGGTGTTCAGGGTGTCTGCCTCAGAGCAAAACATTTTCTGGAACTTTTGAGAGGGAATTTGAAGAAAGAACCCCATCAACTGGAAAAGCAATATGTAGATTTTTTTTTTTGCTGTATCAAAAATCTATTCAAATTCAAATCTTAGTTTCATTGTATTCTTGTGGAAACATTCCCAATCTTGTGAGAATAATGCTTTCAAAATGTTTTTAAGCATCAATTCAAGGCCCTGGGAGAGACTACAACAAATTTTATAAAATTTATATATTCTAAATTACCTGAGTTAGAAATTATATTCTGATTCACCATAAGATCTATGGTTTTTCTACTTTCTCCTACATACCCACACACACATACACATACACAAGAAAGATGGGGAAGTTTGAGCCATATTCAATAGTCTGAAGTCACTAGGGCAAAAGCAGACAAGGTTCTAGTATTACCACTTCCTTCTGTAAGGACAGTTTGATCTAAGGCTGTAAGTTATGTAATCACTTAGGTATGCTTCAAGTCATCTACAAGCAGCAACCTTCTCAAAAAGGAATTTCAAGATAGCCTGTTATAAAAATCAAATGCCATTATTTATGATGAAAAAAGGAAAACAAATTCAATGAGAATACAACCCAGTCTCCCTAAGGCTTAACTAGAACTCAGGAGTTAATTAAGGAAACAAGTTTCTAAGGCAGCAGAGCAGTAATGACTCTTAGCTCCAGGTTAGGACACTAAACACACTGGAGCACTCTCTGCCAGCGCGGGGCAGGCCCAGCTATGGCCGCATGGAGGGATGGGGGGTCAACTCACTGGACCCCAAAGCCTCCAGTACTATCTTCTACATGGCTTGGTATGGGAAGTCCTTTGGTCCACAGTTCCCAGAAAATGAATTTCCATGCATGGAACACCCAGCTGGGCAATAATTTTAGATTCACGAGGTAGAGCCATCAGGGGCTAGTCAAGACCAGACGCACGCCATCCTGATAGGCTGGGGCTCCATTATCTGACCTCTCTTTCTCCCCTAGTGTAGGGCTCCTTGCTGCTTCCCCACCCAGTGCCCCGGTGCCCCCCAGTGACATACAGGTGATGCCGTGTAGGTTACTGCCCCATTTCTGTAGAGTTCTGGGGAGATGACTATAATCTCCTGAAAGCACGTTACATTCATTACACCGGTTAGTGCTCATTCATTCATTCAAGAAATATTTTCAGGTGATCTCTCCACTTTTAAGGCTCCCTTAGTTCCGAAATTGGGATAAAGGTGTCCGTGGACACTTGCAGAGCTCTTACTACCCAGTGTGCACACCAGCAAGTCCCTGGAGGCTTGCTCTTCACTATTATTTTTTCAGTATCTAACAAATGCTCTTGGGAGATGGAAAGTCAGGCCTTCGAGCAGAGATCTGTGCCTTCCAAACTTCGCTTTTACAGAACACACATTTTTTCACAATATGGACATAGATTCTTTAATTTTTGTTTCAGAAGAACTGAAACAATATGACCCTTTTTTGATTTTGAAATGTCTCCAGGGTGCTTTCTCTAGGAGTAAAACAAAATCATTCTTAGTCAGGTTGATTTAATTCCTCTGTACCCTGTCTTACTAGATTTTAATATATCGCCTATCAGTTACCCACCTAAGTCACACTGACCGTGCCCTACAGCGGTCTATAAATTAACAATGCAAATTCCAAACTCGAGAGGTCACTTCACAAAAATGTCCCTTCCAGCTCCTCCCCATGACCAATATCAAAAAGTGCTCATTTGCCTCCTGCCCCCACATGGCCCTACTTCCCGCCCTTTGTTCATTTTCCTCCTGAATATTGCCACCCTACAGGTGCTGAAGAGTGTTGTTTTTGTTTGTATTTTTCAAAAATAAAAATTAGAGGAAATCAGCTTGGTGAATCCTCCCATGTGTCTCAGAGCCAGCAGGCAGCCACGCCACCCTAAAGAAAGCCCTACATACTAGAGCAGCTTTAGCCCAAGGAGCCAGTGGAGTCCCCATTCATCAGTCAAAGTTTTATGCAAGTGGCCCCCCTAGGTTGATAAATCCCCACAGTGCCTGTTGACCCAGCTGCCAAGTCCTCTTGCTGCAGGCAGTGTTTTCCCGGCCACCCTGACAGTAACACAAACTGTTTAGCAGCTCTGCTGGCCTCGCGGCTATTAACAGGGACATGGGCTCCACCAGGGACTAGTTTTCAAACATGACAGAATTTCTTAACACTGGAGGTCACGCACAAGTCTCTGCCCTATAAAAATCCATTCAGCGTGCCAGAGTGGAAGGCCAAAGGACAAGGACGCATGTCCCACATTTTGCTATTATTTTGTTATTATTATAAAATTATATAGAGCTAAAAAATAGCTCTATATGTATCTGCCAGCTTATATTTTGTTATCAATATTTTCTTATATCGTGGGGCACAATATCTTTTTACCTAACAAATCCTTTCTAAGCGGCCAGATAGCATTATAAATTTCAACCATAAAGAATTACAAAAGGTGGGACTAGATCAAAGTCCAAATTTCTAATGAATGGATGATCACGC